CGTAGAAAATAAGGTGGTTGTAAACACTTACATATACCCAGAGAGAAGACTGGCTTCAGGTGATACACAGATATGAAACAAATCCTCCTATATAAGTTGTATACCTGTTTATCTGCAGTCTTCTCTTCTCTACATTTATTCAAAGTGCAAACTTTATAAAGCTTGTCTGAGCTGTCAGAAAAAAAAAAGGGACCGAGAGCTGAATTTACACTCACAGAGCTCAGTGAGAGCTGATTGAAGAGAAGGGACACACCCCCTTCACACAGCACACAGAGAAAGAGCTTAGGCTGTCAATCACAGACTTTGTGCTGAAGCTCCCTCCTCTGTCACCTTTTTTACTGTTTGGTGTCAGGAAAAACTTTCAGAAGTCACTCATGCAGATAGCAGAGGAACCAGGCAGCAAACAGAAATGGCACATAGTACTCTGGATTGAGACAAGTACACGCTATAGAGGGATATGCTTTGTTCATAATATGTCAGAGGTTTACAACCACTTTAATTTAAAATATATATTTTTAGAACATTTGTTCCATGTGTTATTGCTTAGAGGAATCAAGTCAGCATTCAATGTAAACAGTTGCGATGAAAAAATTCAAAGGAGCAGGATGCAAATTTTTTTTTTCCCAAAGGAACAAGAACAGTTGGGTACTGTCTGTGATACTTGCTTATTTGCAGTAACTCAAAATTTTCAGGACAAGTACATGAAAATAAAAACGTATCACAGACAGTTCTCAATTGTTCTTGTTGTAGGCACACTAATATGGCTACAATCACAAAACAAAATTCTAAAGCAGCAATAAACCCAAAAGCTAACATCTGTAATATTGCAGCTTACCAATTCTTAGATGTGGTGGCTGCATTAGTTTTCTTTTTTTAGGCTTTTTTCCCTATATTTTCATCTGGTGATCCAGCCGTAAGTCAGTTGTTTTTTTTTTTTAAAGAACAAGCTCTCTTCCAGATGCATCAGTTTACAGGGAGGAGCAAACCATTTACCATTGACAGGGGTGCTTACAGTGATCATCTTTTATTTATTCATGTAAAATCTTTATCACAAAAGGAAAACAAATTGCTGTAACTGCTTATAAAGTTTTGTCTGGAGATTGCATTCAATTTATTAGTGCATTTAAATCTGCTAGTACATTTAGCACTTCCATACCCCCCCCCCCTCCCCAGACTGATAATGCTGCTGTCCAAAGATACACCCTGTGCTCTTTCATCCAAAGTGGGGGCACTCTAATATAGGAGTTGTGTTACTAGCCAGATCACCAGGTGAAAACAGAGGTGGAAAAACGTAAAAAAAAAAAAAAAAAAAAAAACTGAAACAGCTACTAGATCAAATGAATGGTAAACTACAATATATAAAAAATTTTTTTTGTTTTGGCTTTATAACTGCTTAAAGCTGGCCATACATTAGCAGAACCTTGTTCGTAATTTTTCATTTGATTGTTTAATCATTATTGGGATCAAATCAATATTCATTTTTGACTGCAGTGAAGAGAATATTTGAAGAAGCAGGATGGAAAATTCTTCTCAAATGAATCAATTTCTAACACCATATGTGATTTTTGTTTGAGAAAGTCTGTTCATTCCAAAAAAAAAAAGCAAACTAGGTTTTGAAGTATTTTTGAATGACATTCAAGTTATCAAATGCCACAGCTTCAAATACCACCTCTATGCCGATGACACCCAAATCTATCTCTCTACTCCTCACCTCACTCCTTTTAGTCTCCTCTTGAATTACTAACCTGCTAACTGACATATTAGCACAGATGTTGCACCACTTCCTTAAACTAAATCTCTCTAAAACTGAGTTGATAATATTGCCCCCCCCCCCCAGCTTGTGCCCCTCTCTATGACTTTTCCATCAGATCAATAATACAACTATCAGTCCCTCCCCTCAAGCCAGGGTACTTGGTGTAATCCTAGACTCTGATCTATCCTTTCAGACTCAAATCCAATCACTGTCAAAAGCTTGTAGACTTCACCTCCGTAATATCTCTAACTTCTCCCCTTTTTACCAAAGGAAACCACCAAGCTACTCATTCACTCCCTTGTTATCTCTCGCCTTTACTATTGCAACTCCCTTCTCATAGGCCTACCTCTCCGTAGCTTATCCCCCCTTCAGTCTGTCATGAATGCTGCTGCCAATATCATCTACCTTACCAACCGCTCCATGTCTGCCACCCATCTCTGCCAATCCCTCCACTGGCTTCCGATTTCCCTGTGAATTCAATTCAAAATACTAACAACAATATACAAAACCATTCACAACTCTGCCCCCAGCTACATCACCAATCTTGTCTCCAGAGATCACCCAATCTGTCCTCTCCGCTCCTCTCATGACCTCCTGCTCTCAAGCTCCCTTTTCTCCTCCTCCCATGCTCATCTCCAGGACTTCACCAAAGCCTCTAGCATCTTCTGGAGCTCTCTACCTCAATCTGTCCAGCTATCCCCTAATCTGGCTGCCTTTAGGCGATCCCTGAAAACTCATCTCTTCAGGAAAGCCTATCACACCTCCAATTAAATATTTATCACTTCCACCAGCTCATCCCCCACAGTTATATGTAAGGTGGGTAGCAGGGTGCATCAGTGGACGATGCTGTGGAAGTATGGCAGCTGATGATGGATGGTGTGTAGGGAAACTGGTACTGAGCAGCACTTCTAAAGAGTGGAGACAAACTCTGTGCAGAAGAAGATGAAACAGGAAGGCGTTTCTAAGTACAATATTCCAGGTCAACTTTAAAAAAAAGCAGTTAAAAACATTTACAATGTAGTAGCAAAAACAGGCTCTAATGTAATCCATCAGTAGCAGGGCTCTGTCCTCTAAGCGATGGAGACGCTGTGCCAGCCAGCAGCTGCAGGGGGATCTTGAGGAGAGGTGTTAAAGATGGCCGCCGCTCTGTTCAGACCGCTGGAGTGCACACTGGAACGCATGCTGTCTGTGGACCGGAAGTGACGTGAGCATGAAGTGGTGACACGTTTCAGAGCATGAGCAGAGATCCTTCTTCAATGGTCTTGTAGAACAAGCTCTGCACATGCTCCAAAATGTGTCACCGCTCCATGCTCATGTCACTTCGGGTCCGCAGACAGCATGCGTTCCAGTGTTCCGAACAGAGCAGCGGCCATCTTTAACACCACTCCTCAAGCTCCCCCTGCAGCTGCTGGCTGGCACGGCGGCTCCATCGCTTAGAGGAAAGAGCCCTGCTACTGATGGATTACATTAGAGCCTGTTTTTACTACCACATTGTAAGTGTTTTTAATTGCTTTTTATTAAAGTTGACCTGGAATACTGCACTTAGAAGTGCCTTCCTGTTTCACCTTCCCCCACAGTTATAACCTTTTGTTCCACTTGCCCAACCCTATTAGATTGTAAGCTCTGATGAGCAGGGCCCTCTTAACCCTCTTGTTTTAATTTGTATTGTAACTGTACTGTCTCCCTTTATATTGTAAAGTGCTGCGCAAACTGTCGGCGCTATATAAATCCAGTATAATAATAATGTAATGAAAATTTTTGTACGAATGTTCATTTGGACAATCTACAAGTGTATGGTCAACGTTAGAAACACTGTCAAGAGTATTTACTAAAACTGGAGAGTGCAACATCTAAAGCAGCTTTGCAGAAAAACCAATCAGCTTCCAGGTTTTATTTCCAAAACTTAATTGAACAAACTGAATTTGGAAGCTGATTGGCTACCATGCACAGCTGCACCAGATTCTGAGTCCTCCAGTTTTAGTAAATACCCCTCACATATGTGACATCTAACCTTTAGACTCTCTTCATCAAGAAAAGCAAGTCACTGAGGTTTTTTCGCAGTCTCTTCTATCAAGCCACCGCTTATTGATACAGGCACGTAGTTGCTATTCAAAGTTATATGAATGTATACGGAATACAAAAAGGTCTCTGTGTTTTCTTCATTTATTATTTTACGTGTCTATCCATGTGTCAACATTCGATCACAGTTTTAGGATTTAGGACAAGTAGATGACAACCACCCTGTTTCAACAGAATGCAGTCTATTTTATTTTTAAAGAAAGAAAAAATATGAAAACAATAAAAGCGGTTTCTTTACACTAGCAGTAAATAAATTTATACAACCATTCAGTCTGTATAATATGATGAAATAAATCTACATCTTTTTTATATTTTGGTGTCTTTGAATTATACATACAAACAACAATTACAGGAACTTGTTCACAATGCATTGAGGCCTGAGGAATGGCTATCAGCAAATCCTTTCTGACAATTTCCGTATAGTAACTTTAATTGCCCAGGGTTGATAGTGCTTCCTGCGAAGAGACCCACAGCCTGAACGTATGAACCGTCTACAGTTTTAATGCATCAAACAACCTCTGCCAGTTACAGAAAACAAGACTAGCAGTGTGTTCACGTTGTGAGTCAAGCAGCCCGAGAGTTCATCGAGTCTAAGATCGACTGCCGGGCTCCCCATAAAATCTTGCTGTCCTTCATGCTTTTCATACAGGTGCTAAGCAGAAATAAAAGTCTTCAAAATGTACAGCATAAAGTTCTTTTTTTTTTTGCAATGTTTCTCATTTTTGTTCACAGCACTGGAAACCCTTATCAACAGGGAGTCACGGTTTCAATGGCTTATTCACAAATGGGATCCAGATTCAGTGGTCAAGAATGCGTAGATGCCACAGTGAGTTCCTTTCGAAGTTGCAAGCACTACTGTGTGTAGGCGTTTAAATAACATTTTTTTTTCATATTTTGAAGGGTCATCACTTTCCAAAAGTTGCAAAATATAGATGAAGTCTTAAAAGGGATGCAAGTTACAAAGAGTAAAGTCTAACCCATGGCAGTTACCATACTGGAGGGATGATGAGGTGCAAAAGAGAGGCCAGATGGTGGATGCATTGGCGTCGGCGTGGTCAGCATGTGACCAGGGTGACTGAAAGGTGAAATGTGGCTGAGGGAGGACATATGCCTGGACAGAGCGGCGGGGCTGAACGAGCTGCTCTTGGGGTAATGATCCTCGAGGCCGTCATGGATTTTTTTGCTCTTTTTTGACTTGCTAGACATTTTCCGGTTTCTTGTCTGGATTCCTTCCTTCTTCATGGTCAAGGGTCTGTTAATCTAAACAAAAATTTATTATTTGTTTTTGTTTCTCATTCTTTAATAGCTTTTGTATGGATATGCAACTACTTTGCAAAGTATTCAACAGTAATTATTTATAATCAAGCAAAGCAAACATTTCTGGCAAGTTTTTATTTCTGTCTGTGACACACTTGGGTAGATTTTCCTTCTTTTTTGTCTTGGTGATGTCTATATCAGAAATAGAGGGGGGGATGCTCCTGGGACAGGAAGGCACAGACAGTAAAAAAAAAGCATTGTCAGAAGTTCCTCCCACTCTTTAGAAAATGTTTTTGTTTTTGTTCTTCATTCATGCTGGAGAGTAAAGGGTAATTAGGTTGTTTTTCACTTTAATCTTCCAATTATGTGAAATCTTCCAAATCTTTTATTGATCTTGAAAATAACTGAGTATTTTAAGTGAACACAGTTTCACTTTATTCACTAAGCTGAGTAGGGGCTCGTTTCCACCTACATCAGTCTTTCAAGACAGCAATACTGCCGCATCTTGAATACCTGTATTTTTTTTTTTTTTTGACAGCTGAACTTTTTGGATGGAAATACCACATAGCAACCACAGGTGGTACTGCCTGCAGGATGCAATAGGGTAATATTTTTTTCCACACAGCAAGACCACTTTTTCAGCTTAAATGCTGGTGCAGAAAAAAAAATAGCTTAACTGCCTATTTTTACCTCCCCAACAGAAAGAGGTAGATTTACTAAAATTGGTGCACTCAGAATCTAATGCAGCTGTGCATGGCAGCCAATCTGATTTTAACTTCAGCTTGTTCAATTAATCTTTGTCAATAAAACCTGGAAGCTGAATGGTTTCTATGCAGAGATGCACCAGATTTTGCACTCTCCAGTTTGAGTAAATAACCCCCCCCCACACCAGTGAATGCTAAACCTTACTCTGCTAAATGAACATATTTATTTTATTACTTATTTCAGGTTCTTATAGCGCTGTCAATTTACGCAGCACTTTACATATAAATATTGTCATCGGTCCCTAACCCTCAAGGGGTGTACAAGCTACGGCTCCTAACTTACAATTATACGTACACATACTAGGGTCAATTTAGACAGGATCCAATTAACCTAACATATGCTTTCCAAAGTGAACATTTAGCTAGAGAACAGTCTCTGTTCTTGTGTTGGTAAGTCTTTTTTTAGGGCAAGTATTATTATTATTTATAATAATAATAATAATATTTTTTTATTATTATTATAATAATAATAACAATAATAATAATATATTTATATTATCAGTTGAATTAATTTTCCGAACCAAACTGTAAATGTTTTACTACACATATTAAATAGAACATACTGACAAGCTGGACCCAATTATACAAAAAATTTATAAATAGTAGTTTTAAAAATGCTATATAAATGCTGTATATGAAAAAAAAAAAAATTGGTCAACCCTCTATACTTAACCTTGCAAAAGAGTTAACATTTACAGCACTGTAAATGTAGCGTGTTTATGTATAATAGTTAGCTTTAGTTTTTCAGTGTGCTTTGGAACCCAATTCCTAGCTGATATCCCTGCATATTTCAAGTACAAATTATCTAAGATATGTGGTTCAGAAACTGCTCAGGCAGCATTTCAAATTTCAGCATTTCAGGCAGCATTTCAAAGCTTAGAACCAGAATAAACACAACAAAGATGACAGATTTAGGAAATAGGCAAGTTGTACTGACAGCTGTCAGTTTCAGCCAGTAAAAACTGAACTTCACACCACTCAGCCACTACACACTGTTTTACTGCAATGCATTCATTGCATTTGGCTGGGACTATTCACCTATCAGTTAACAACTGCATGGCAAATTGTTCTTTTATTTTACAAAGGCTGACCGCAGCATGGTAAGGTCAACCAATAAAACAGTGGTGTGCTACATTAAGAACAGGGAATTGTTCATGATCCCTGCAAAGCTTAACCTGAAAGTGAGTCCCTATTATCCTACTAATTAGCTACGCACGCTGCTGAGGGTGGTCAGTTTTATAGCCCATGTGGACACCTGCCGAGCGTCTGCATGACCAAGCTTTCTGATTCAGGGAAAATTTCACTACAGCATTGATGGTGAATTGATATCAGCAACATTTCAAGGACACAGTTATATGCTGAAATTAATACACATATTACAAATATAATGGTAGAGTACAAGTGATCAATCCAACCTAAGCAGAGAGTTATTTACAAAAAAATTGTTTTGGAGTTATTTAACCACTTGCCTACAGGGCACTTATACCCCCCCTCCTGCCCAGGCCAATTTCCAGCTTTCAGCGCTGTCACAATTTGAATGACAATTGCTTGGTCATGCAACACTGTACCCATATGAAATTTTTTTATTATTTTTTTTGAGACAGATAGAGCTTTATTTTGGTGGTATTTAATCACCTCTGGGTTTTTTTTATTTTTTGCTAAACAAACCAAAAACCACTGAAAATTGTGAAAAAAAAAATGTTTTTTCTTAGTTTTTGTTATAAAATTTTGTAAATAAGTGATTTTTCTTCTTCACTGATGTGCGCTAATGAGGCTGCAGTGATTGGCACTGATAGGCTGCACTGATGGATACTGATAGGTGGCACTGATGGGCACTGATGAGGAGGCACTGGTAAGTGGCACTGATGGGCATTGACAGGCATCACTGATGGGCACTGAAAGGCAACATTCATATATAGCACTGATAGGCAGCACTGATAAGTGGCACTGACTGGCACTGATAGGCGGCACTGACTGGCACTGTTAGGTGGCACTGACTGGCGGAACTGATAGGCAGCACTGACAGGCACTGATAGGCGGCACTGATACACACCGATAGGCGGCACTGACTGGCACTGATAGGCAGCACTGACTGGCAATAATAGGTGACACTGATTGGCAGCACTGATAGGTGGCACTGACTGGCATTGATAGGTGGCAGTGACAGGCACTGATGGGTGACACTGAAAGGCAGCTCAGATGGGCACTGATATATGGCATTGATGTGCACTGGTAGGCACTGATATGTGGCATTGATGTGGAACTGATGGGCACTGGCAGGTGGCACTGATGAGCACTGACAGCTGGCACTGATGGACACTGACAGGTGGCACTGCTGGGGCTACGCAAATCATCAGTGCACACTGATCATCAGTGCCCTGATGATCAGTGCACATGTCCCCTCTGCGGAATGCCGATTACCGGCTCTCCTCTCCTCTCGAGCTGTCAGCGTGACAGCTCGTGAGGAGAGAAATGCAGATAACCAGTATTTCCCTATTTACATGTGATCAGCTGTGATTGGACCAAGGGCGGACTGACCATTTGGAAACTCGGGCACTGCCCGAGGGTCTGGGGTCAGTAGGGGGCCCCATGAGATGCCCCTGGTACCTTTTTCATAGGCTTTTTTGAGTTTGGGCAAAGACACAGGGGCCCTATGATCCCCTATTGCCCAGGGGCCCCATGAGTTGTCAGTCCGCCCCTGGATTGGACACAGCTGATCACATGACCGAGCCGACATCTTTGGCTCTTTCCATTGATCGGTGATCCGCTGTGTCCGAGGGACACAGCTTTATGCCTGTACAATAAATTGTGTTTCATGGAAAAATAGTCTTAGTGGCTCTGAGTGTACTTAGTTATGTTCTATAATCTACTGTACATTGCAGTTTTTCAATCTTCCAATGTTCTCTAATGGTCTTTCACAATTTAAATCGCAGTTGTATGTTGTATAGGTAATATGGACTATGTACAGGGCTTTTTTTCAGCAGGAACGCAGGGGAATGCAGTTCCGGCACCTCCAGCACTGAATGTATGTAACGGCAAGGGGTGCTAGGGTGTGCTGGAAGGTTTATTGATGCTAGCTGCTGGGGAATCTATTGCTACCAGAGGGAATCTATTTTTGCATGATGGTCTATTGTTGCTTGGGAGGTCTGTTGTTGCTGGTAGGGGATCTGTGCTGGAAGGGATATACTGTTGAGGGAGAGGTCTATTGTTGTTGGCTGCTGGAGAGTCTATTGATACTGGATGCTGGGGGAGCTGTTGTTGTTGCTGGGGGTCTATAGTTGTTTGGGTGATTTTTTTTGTTGAAAGAGTCTATTGTTGCTGGGGGGATCTTCTGTTGCTGGAGGTAGGGGGGGTCTATTGCTGCTTGCTGTGGGAAGTCTATTTTACTGCTTTTCTTGTTATCATTAACACCTTTCATACAAATTACTTAACAAAATGATAACTGGGTCTGTATTCTTTATAAGGATCTGTACTGGGAGGTGGGTAGAGGTTTGAACCAAGGGACTGTGCTCGGAGATGGGTAGGGGCAGAGACAAGAAGTGATTCAGAAGGGGGGAGTGTCTGCACCTATTCTCTGAGAAAAGAATCCCTGACTGTGTATCTATACATAGGTTGCTAGGCATTATGGACAATGTGTATGTACATACGGTGGTAGGCATTGTGGATTATATATATGTACTGTATGGTACAAATACCATTTTTGACAGATTTTTCCTAATAGCCAACAACCTGCCAATTCCTATAGACAGTGAAACACAAATCATAAAATAAAACTCAACTGTTTCACTTTACATCTCTCTTCCATAGATGTCAATGCATACTAGTAAAATAAAACTAATTACAAAATTACTATTTTTTAATAAAACATATTTTGTAAAGTTGCAAGAAAGAGGACCTTACAAGAAAAATATAACTCTGAATGTATTGTCTGCTTTGCATACCCAGCTACATTAGGAAGTAAACTGTAAAAACATCACCTCTGGTATGATCCTGATACAGGAAACACAAACCAATCACGTGATTTTCCTCAACATTGTCAAACAAATGCTGCACATTTTAGCATTGTTGTCATATGATTTGTGATACTAATAAACTTGCACCTCCCTAGTCCTGAATATAAACTGATCTGTAAGTTCCTGAAGTCTCACAAGATTACAGAAGCTGAGGAGTGATCAGTTGATCTTGTCCTGCATGGTTTTGGGCTACTTGAATATGGCGCAATGCACCAGTCACAGGATATAGACAATATTGTAAACCAGACAGTGACACCAGTAAAGCTATTTATATAAATTTGAAATGTTACATTATTTATTCATTTTTTTTAAAATGCTTGATCATAAAAGTAATATATTAACACAGGCCCTTGAAACATTTTACTGTATTGAAAATTTTTTATTCATTGAAATATATTTCCATTTAAATGCTAAAAAACCCTCATTCTAAGCCTATTGTAACTACCCTGTAACCCTGTAAAGGGAAGATATCTATACAAATCCATTCTGAGGGCAGTCTGGTCTGGTCACATGATCTCCCCAGCGGCTGGCTTCAGTGAATAAGATAGATCCCTGACAACAGCTGTAGAACCTGGGCAATGACCTCATCCATAGACGTAGTATGAGGCATCTGTTGTCGGTTGCCCCGTCAGGTGCCTCGTGACTTCTCGTTAACCCTGATGAAGTCATGAGGCACGTGACACAACGCGTTGGTACGCCATTTCCAGTGACGCACTTCCGGCCGCAGAGGCCATATTGCTACACCCATCCCATGCAGTACACCCATAGGATGTGGGGATAAGCATTTTCTGTTTGGAGCATATGTGAGTGTGACATTGGCTGTTTATCACATTTATTCATTAAAAAACAATATTGCACTATGGAGGAAACTGTTTTTTGTGTCTCACTAACATGATCCTGAGTGGAGAAGGTGGAGAGTAAACAGTATTGCAGTACCATTCCCTTTAAGGAGTAAGGAGTTGCTGAACAAAGGAGCTTATGTGATACCTATTTTTCCCTGTGATGAGGAAGTATCCTTAAGGATCTGGTTTTTGGGTTATCCTAAAACTGTGTTGGCCCCTTGGGTCAATGTGTGGAGGTGAGCAGGTATTTCTGCTGGTTTAAGGATTTTGACACTTGAGTGAAGATCACCAGTGCACTTCATCACCTTTATGATTGTTTTTTGCTGTTTGAAGATCACTTATATGTTTTGGACTACACAATATTCTGTTTGGGGATATTAGACATTGCCTAATACTTACTTTGATATATTGTCATTAAAGCACTATAGTTAAATGTTTATTGAGCACTATTTAACACAGATGTTTATTTTCCCTTTTTTATAAGGGACCGCGTTTTTTGCATAATCACCATTTATTACCCGCTTGATGAATCACGGAGAATTACCACAAGTATTTATTGTGGTTACCACCAGATTGCACTTTATTGATCCATAGAGATCAGAGCACAGTGTGTTCAGTGTTTATCACTTTATTATTAGTATTATTAATATATTATCCATATATATATATATATTTTATAGGCACTGCTTGGTATTAGTGTATTTTAGCGCTTCACTAAGTTCATAACTATATCACATGGAAGAAGTTTTTTATTGTTCTTACTATTATTTGTGTATATGTTTTAAAACTAACAGATCCCTCTAAAGCAAGGTGGATGGAGTAATCCTCCCCCCCTTCACCACCACCACCAGGACATTGTATTCTGACAGCGGCACCCACAGCTGTCAGAATATACACACCAGCAGCTGCTGCCACTGATCAAGAATCATTTTCTAACATGTCCCTTCCACAGAAGGTGATCAAACAATTTACTTATGTGGAGTGGGGATGGTTATACACTAATTGAAACTTCAGTGGTCCCTGTATTTCTGAATTTCGATCAATGTTTGTCCACCTTTAGTCTAGGCATTTACACATTTTGATGTCAACTGGATGCAAGATTCTCCATAAAGTACAATGTAACATAACCATTAAAGTGAACTACCACAGAGCATGATTTTATCAATTATTTTGTATTGTGTTTGCAAAGTAATATTAAAGCCATTTTAGTGTTTTGGAGAAGCTTTTGCTATCTATGGTTTGTTACCTGGTCAGGGGATGAGTTTATTTACTAAGCATTTCAAAGGATTTCTGTCCTACTCACATGAGGTCTTCTTGTGGAATGTAAATGACTGGAGGGGTGCAGTGCAGAGATGTGATTCAGAAACAAATATGCCATGTGTAGATTTACTGATTTATTCCTCCGGACTACAGAGAGCGGGAATGTGCTTTGTGGATATGGATTTTTTTTAGGCCTGGAATCTCACTCCTGTTTCACTAGTAACAGAAGTGGAGTTCAGTTAGAGATCCAAGCCAAAGTTCAAAGGAACAATTGCTGTATAAAACTGAGCAAAAAGTCTACAACACATCTACTAGTCACTTGGTATCAGGAGGAAATGGCCATATTGAGAGAACAGGCCACTCTGGACATTAAACAGGAAGTCTTTAGAAGGGCATACCAGCAAGAACACACTTATTTCGCACTGCAGAAGGCTCAAGCTGAAAAGCAGGCAGCTTGCTACCAGTGTTCAAAAGTCCATAGAAAATTCTTCTAATGAGAATACTGCTGATATTAAAGGCTTCTTCCAGGATTTGGAAAACCAGTGGCACTGAATGAAAGACCCAAACTATGACAGATGCTTATTAGCTGGACTACTAGATGGGCAATAAAATTTAAAAGTCAGACTATGAAAAGGTATGTAGAATAATAGTTTCATATTATGCAATCATCCAGAGTCCTGCCATGCCCAATTTAGACAGGTGATACAATGAGAGTGGGTCATTTAAAATGTATGTCTACAGATGACTCTGGCCTGCAGATGGCTGAAGGGACAGCAGGCTTTTCTTGTTAATGATATATATGCCTTACTTTTCTATAAGAAAAAATGTTATAGTAAATGTCCTGAAGAGATATATGAGTGGGTTAAAGACAGAGAGCCAGCCACAATCAAGGCAGCAACTATTTGGCAGAAAACTTTTATCTCGTAAGCATTGTTTAAAGGAGATTAGGGCCAATGCTCTTTTGGCCTTGCTTCTCCTGGGGGTCAAAGGAATGCACTTCATTCTGCACTCCAATGACCCATATTCAGCTGACAGTGAGATAAAGCTTGATGACGGCTGGTGTCACTCTGGAGAGATCCCAACTTTAATGTCAGGATCCACCCAGATGCCTGAGGGGCAGGTGGCTCAGCCTCTCAATGCCTGCTGAAAGCCTGAGCCAACCACTCCCAACCCTTGCACAGCCTGGCTTTTCAGTGAGTGCTGGAGGGGCAGAGCAGAGTCTAGTGACTGACAGTCGCCGGCTGTCTGCTCTCTGAAGACCAAAGACTGAGTGATCAGTTGTCTTTGATCACTCAGTTCTCAATCTTAGAAGCAGCACGGGACACTGCTGCATCCACCCAGGTGAGCATGTGAGGTTTTTTTTTAATTCCCATACATTTCTTTAAAAAATAAACATACAATTGCCCTCACAAA